GACTCTTCGCAATTGCTCGGTGACCGTGGACGCAGTGTGTAAAGGCCTGCGCGATCCACACCATTTTTGTTGTTGTTTTTGTTAGCTTTTTAACTCGAGCAGTGTCGCAAAAACGCTGGAGCCCCCTTCGCCGTGCCCCCGTTGTTGCCACTGCGCCCCGGCAGGCACGGCACGGCCCGGCATGGCCCCGGGCGCAGCCTCGTCCTTTGGCCCTTAGCCTCGCCGACACCTTCTATTTCTTTTACCCCTCGTCAGGCGCGGCTCGCCGCAGGTGCTGGGCGAAAGACAGCAAGCCATGTCCCCCCCCCTCCGCCCCGCGGCAGTGCAAACGTACACGCCCACGCACTGGACCATCGCAAGGCATCCGCCCGAATAAGGCGACCTTGCTCGCTCCGTCGCTGTGGCGCTGCCGGCGCTGCTCACTGCCGTGGCGGGCTGATCCCGCACAGCGCTCTCGTCGTCGTGCAGTCTCTCTCGCACTCGTGGGGCGGTCCGGCAGGTGGGAGGGAGAGGGAGCACTGTTCGGAATCAGCCCGCTACTGACCGACGTCTTGCATTCGCCCCGTTGTGGTTACGCCGAAGGGGGGAGGGGGCAGGGAAGGGGGTGGGAAGGGCCGGAGGGGAGGGGCGAGGGGCGCCATGGCATCTAAAGCCGTAGACGGGCAGCGTGACAGGCGCGTCCAGCGGACTGATTCCGAGCGGGCTCTCTGTCTCTGTCGCACCCACACGGCTGTCCCGGATGAGAGCGACAGAGAGACCGCCGGCTCGGAATCCGCCTGCAGGGCGCGGCCGCGCGGCCACTGTGGGGCTGACGGGCTGACTAATCCAGACGCAACTCGTGGGAGAGGGCTGGAGAGCCCTGCCCGGCCAGCCCGCCAAGGTATGGGAAACGCTCATAGTGCGGCGAGCCGCACGTCGGAGGAGTGTTTGTTGTTGTTGTTGATGGTGTTGTTATCGTTTTGGGCATCGTGAGCAGTATACAAAACGGTGCCACGATGTAATGGGAATCATGGGAAATGTTTGTTTGCAAGTCTTGCGAACGGCGCGCGCGGGAGCCGGCAGCCAGCATGTGTGTGGCTGTGTGGGGGGTGTGGTTTCGAACCCCCACCGCATTATTTGCTTTGATTTCGTTGCGCGCGCCATCCAACATTCACATCCAGATTCGCAGCCGCGTTCGCGAGCCACATTCACATCCATATTCCGCGGCGACAAGCAAACGGCCCGATGGACCGCGCCGGTCGGTTACCTCTCGTTCCCTCGCGAAGGGGAACTATTATTTCGAATTGATTGTTTTTAATCCGGTGACATCACTGTTCAAACAAGCGTATCCCCTCGCGCTGTCCATGTGACATGCGCTGTTCTGTCCACCCCCGTTGTTTGGTCGATCTGTCTCTCTCGCACCCTTACGGAACGCCCCGTGAGTGCGACAGAGACAGAGCGACGAATGGACTCTTGGTCCAGCCCCACTCATTATTCACTCACTCTTCGACACGAGTTCTAATTGACCGCGATGTCCTTCCAATTCGTGGCTCTCATCTATGATGCATGGGGCGCCACCACGCCACTGTATCGGCCGTGCCGTGCCGAGCCGAGCCATGTCGCGACCCCATTTTCGATTTTTCATCGCGTTTTTCATATGCCGCGTGCGCGAAACGGTCCCAACGACAAGAGCAGGAGCGAGGGACACGTAGGCGAGCACGTCATTTCGAGGGCACTCGATGTGAGGGTGCTACTGGTGAATTTCTCGTTCAAAGGGAAATCCATTGCCACCCTCATGTGTCCTCATTGGAGTTCTCTATCAAGGACTATGGAAAGGAGCTGTACAGGAGGCCTGAATCTTCCGACTGATGCAGCCACCGCGGAGCCAGAGTCCTAGGACTGGGGCAGATCTGAGGCCCCACGCGGTGCCGGTTGGGTGGCCTGCCGTCTAGGCGCAGTGGCCGCGCGGACGACCCCTCGTTTATTCCAGGTACTCACGCCAAGGTAGTCCAGGCACTACTCCAGGTACCAAAGGAAAGTGCAGGCACTAACTCCAGGATGTTCCGCGGCTGTCTCGGCAAGTCTGCTGATTGGCAGGCCGGGCTGAGGCTTCTCTGTGTGACGAGCCATAATTGCCTGAGAGGCATCAAGGCGTGGCGGGCGCCGTAACGCGCTGGGCACACACCGACGCCGGAGACAGCGCCGGAGGCCCAACACCCCGACGCACACACTCACACACTCAAACACACGTACGCACACTCTCGCACCTGCGCGCATGTTTGTTCCCCGTCCCCAGATGGACGCCGCCTTGCAAGCGCCGAGCTTCGCACTGCCCGCGCCTGTTGGGCGGGCAACCCATTCGGCACCGCTGCTCCGGGGCGCGAAGAGCGCGAAGCAGAGAGAGAGGGAAGGCCCAAAGCCCTGTCTCCCGCCCCGCCGCTTGTGTTTGGCGTGCACCTGCAGGCTGATTCCGCACCACCTGTCTCTCTCGCACCCTTACGCGACGCCCCATGAGTGCGAGAGAGACAACACTGTAGGAAGCAGCCTGCTGCCTGCGCATGCAATCAGGGCCGAATCGGGGGCCGGGCCTGCACTCGAGCGAGCGGACGAGCTGCTGACTGGTTACTGGTTCCGCACATCTCTCTCTCTCTCTCGCACTCGCACTCGGGGCGTGCTGGGCGTGCGGTGTCGGTGCGAGAGGGACGGAGCGACGGGTCGCTGCGAGGATGAACGAGTGCGGCGTGCAGGGCGAACGAAGAGTACAGTCGCCTCGCCAAGTCCCCCGGGCTGCTTCGCCCCGCTTCGCCGCTTGGCTCGCTGCCTTCCAAGTTTCCCCAATGCATCTCGCAGGGGGCCAGGGGGACCTAACCAGGGCGCGGAGGGCTTCTTGTCTAATGAGATGCGCGGCCAAAAGGCCAAAAGGGCCGAAAGGCCAGAGGGCCCGGATGGCGGCCGAGGGCATGTCCGAGGGGCGGAGCGACGCGAACACAATCCGCCTGATGGCCATGGCCGGCAGTGGCCCCGGGCGAGGCCCTGTCCGAGGGGCTGCTGACAGGTCACGTGGACACCGGGACCACCGAGCTGCTCGCCGCCGGGGGAAAGGTCAGCGTGGCCAGAACACGCCGCTGTCTCTCTCGCACCCTTACGGGACGCGCCACGAGTGCGAGAGAGACGGAGCGACGGAATCAACCTGCAGCAGGGAGGGTCAGGTCGCCTTCCGAATCCCAAGCGTCTCTTTAGGCCGCAGCCCGCAGGCAACCTGGGGAAACCAGGTGGACTGAAACAGCAGCCGAGCCACGCGCGGTTTTAAGGAGCCCCCTTCCCCCTCCCCTTGCATCGTCCGTGGGCCGAGGAACTGCCTTACAGGTGGGCCTTGCTAAATCCGCCCTCTGTAAAGGCTCTCAAGTAAATCACCCCTGCCGCCGTCGCCGAACCTTAAAATCGCTTCTGGCTATAGCGGGTGGCCGAAGCGGCGGCGCTCACAGATGCGTTAATCTCGAAGGCTGCTGGATCTTTCATTAGCTTGCGCGGCACAAACTTGGCCGCGTTCCGCAAATATTCATTAGTGATGACTTATAGTGTTGTTACGGTTTCATTCCGCAGCATAGTTGGCAAAGTAGTTCCAATATCAACAGCGCAGGAAGCCCTTCGAACGCGCCGGCGGGCGGCGGCCGGGCGAGGCCGGGCAGGGCGCGCCCGGTACGCCCGGCACGCCCGGCACGCCCGGCACGCCCGGCACGCCCGGCACGCCCGGCAGGTGGCGGCTAAAGCTACCGCCGCGCCCGTGCTGTACTTGGCTGGTCTTGTTCGCGCCGCCGCCGAGGCGCCGCCGGCGGGCACGCCCTCGTCGTGTGTGTGTTAGTGTGGGTCCGACCCGGAGTCCCCCGGCGGAGAAAGTCCGTGCCGCCCCCACTGCGAGTGCGAGCGAGAGGGGCGAGTTACAGGTGTGAAGAGAACCTCGGCCCGCCAGGCCCGCCCACCCCGGCGACGACGAGCCCGTCCAAGTCCAAGACGTCCAAGAGCGAGAGGGACCGGAAGTGAACAGGGATGAGGCGAGGGGCAGGAGAGCTTCCTTCCTTCCTGTTTCCTTGGCGCTCATTCCCCCACCCCCTCTGACGTCACTTCGGGCGCCGCGGGGGCTGCAAGACACGGTGCACAAAAGGCGGGGCCTAGTCCGCGCAGGCCTTCGCCATCATCGTCTTCGTCATAACCCGTCGGAAAGTAATCCCGCCGGCTTAGCGCGTGGATCGCTACACTTGACGTTTGTGTGGATTCGGGCAGCAGAGCATCTGTCTCTCTCGCACTCACGGGGCGTCCTGTGTGCGTCCGAGAGAGACAGAGACGCTGCGCGAGGAAATCCAGTCCGCAGCGCGCGCCGTCGGAGAGCCGGCGCGCGGCTCGGCCAACAACAGGGGTAAGCAGCAGCAGAGGGTGAGTCGCTGCGCCGTCCTAAACCAACGGAGCTGCCCCACCCCCCTCCCCCCCACTCCCCTTTCCTTTCTCCCCGTCCGGTCCGGAGCCCGTGTGTCCCGCCAGAAAAGATTCTTCGCGAAACACAGCAGCGGGAAGCTATCAACATGGCCGGGCCGGGGCAGCGCCGTGAAATAATGTGTATACAGCGTGTACACAGGAGGAAAAGGAGCCGCTGTAAATAGCCAACAGCCCTGCCCAGGGCTCTCGGCGCTGGTCAGATTATTTTTGCGCTATGTTTACCTCTATCGATGGCTCTTACGGGGGAGACCGGGGGAGACGATATGACCGAACAGGTCCGAAAAAGACTTGAAAAAAGAGGCCGAGTCCGATTTTTTTTTTGTTTTGCTGAGCAAAGGAAACCAGTGCGCGGATAGAGGCACCATAGGCGCATTGTATTTTTAGCTGAAAAATTCCGGAACACACAACAAGCCGCCTCCGACTGATTGAAGTTGCTCTTCCGCCAGAAGAGCGCTCTGTCTCTCTCGCACCCCTGCAGCACGACCCTTGAGTGCGAGAGAGACAGAGCGACGGCTGCTGTCGGTACGCACCTCCTTGATGAGGTGGGCGAGGCGGTCCAGGCGCTCGTTGTCGGACCGCTTGGTGGGCAGGTAGCGCGCCGCTACCGGGGTGGTCACGGTGGACAGGCCCACCATGACGGCGAGCACGGCGGCCAGAGTCACCACGCTTGACCTGGAACAAGAAACAGACCGGCAAACCGCCCTTACAGTGTGCACGCTGGACTGAGGGTGACCGAGGGGTGCGCCGGCGACCCCGTGTGGCCCACACCTCCCGCACATGCACGCCATGCGCGGCGCAAGCATAATAGTGCTCCATTTTCTTGTATTCATAGGCCGCTGCGGGGATGCTGGGATGCGGAGCCGCGAAGCGCGCGCGACGGTTGCTCGCGGGTTTGCCGCGATGGCCGGCACGGCACTGCAAAGGCACTGCCTAGCGCCGCTGCGGCACCCGGATGAGGGAAAACTCGCCTACGTTATGGAAATGTGCGCGCGGAACATTGTCAGAATATTGCGGTTATGCCTCGTGGGGAGTTGACTCGGAATTGCAAGAAAAGAGGAGAGAGGAAGGGCGAGGGGGAGGGGAGAGGTTGCGGGTAGAGAAACGGTAACGCCGGTCCGAGATAAGCGGGAAAGGAGAGTACGCAGTGGCGTTACGGTTACAGTCGCAGCCAGAGCAAAATTACAAAAAAAATTCAACATTTTAATTTTATTTTCCGTACGAGGGGTTAACCACCCTGTGCGTGGAGCACGTGTGTGCACTATAAACGTGAGGCACCATGAAGGAAAAGGCCGTGGGAGAATTTACGCCGAAATGACGCGTCTTAGCGTCGACCGGTTTATGTGCCGTAATTCAGAAAGCCGTGACAGTTTGCGGAACGGGCAGCCTGTTAGTGACACCCAAGAGGCTGGAAGAAAAGAAAGCGACAGGTGTGGGGGTGTGGGCGCGCCCCTCGTTGGGCCCCAAGTGCTGGAGGCTGGCGGCTGGAGGCTCCGCAGAGCCCTTCTTACGAGTTCAGCGCGACTATTCTTTCTGGAGGGGGAGGGAGGCACACCCCCCGCAGGGTGCATTGGGCCTCCAGGGACAGGTCACACCAGCGGGGCGGGGCGAGGCGGGGAGGAGCTGAATGTGAATAGAGAGCCCCGCAATGGCCCCACAATGTCGGCCTTGTCTCTATAGAGGCGCCCCTCCAGCCCGCTCCAGCCCCTCCGAGTCCGGCCGGGTCTCCACGGTCGTGAGGGCGACTGGAGAGCCTCGACGCGACGCTGACTCTAGATCCTGGAGAGAATAGCAGAATTCATTTGGCCACGGAGTGGCAGCCAAGCCGAGCCGAGCCGGGCAGGCCGGCCCTGGGGGACGTTTTCGCCTCATTTCGCCGCCCCGGTTTTTCCGCCCCCGTCCGGACTCGAACGCCGGACCGCCAGTGCTCCGGATGCAGGCGGGGCGGGGCGCCGCGGCCGCGGCGTCAGCGGAAGCCCAAATTGGCGGTTCTGCTGGCCAATGACCAATCAGGCGGCGAGGAGGGAGAGAGACAGAGAGATAGTCAAGCGGCGATAATTGAGGCGTAAATCACGTTAGCGCCGCCAAGTGCGCCGTGATTGGCCGCAAGCCTCGCGCAAGCCGCCGCGCGTGTTTCGGCACCGTCAATCGCTCTGTCTCTCTCGCACCCCCGCGGAACGCCACATGAGTGCGAGAGAGACAGAGCGATGAGAGCAAGCCCTCTGAGCGGGGCGAGCGTGGGCGGCAGACTCATTCCGAACGACGTCCCGTAGTTTCGTTGCTCCGTCCCTCTCGCACCCTTACGGGAAGCCCTGGAGTGCGAAAGGGACGGCAGCGCCGTCCGGGAGCAGTGACGGCGATAGACACGGCGACACGCGACACGGCGCCCTTCTTGCACACCCTTCGCGTCATCGCTCCATCGCTCAGTCGCCTGACACGACGGCGGCAGGGAGGTGGGGCCAAGGGGTGCGTGCGTGCCGCCCTGCCTGCGCCCCGCCGCCGCAAACCGCGACCACCACAATGCCAACACCCCGCCGCCCCCGCCCCCGCCCCCGCCCCCTCCCCTACACCGTGCCGCGGCCCCGGGGACCCGCGCCGAACAGGTAGTGGCGGAAATGCGGCGGATTCGGCCGTAAATCGACGTGTAATTCGTCGACACGACGTCGCATCGACGTGCCGTCCGCAATCATTTCTCACCCGGACCGCCAGCGCCGCGTCCACTGCAAGTTGCGGGACCCCGCGTGGCGAGTGCGACGAAGGCCGCCAGGAGTGGCGACGGGGTGGGACAAGATAAGGCAACTCAGGAGGACCTCGCGGGCAGGGCGGCAGGGCCAAGGTCTGGGGGTGGGGGTGGAGCGTGCCTCTGTGCGTCCCGCTACGCACTCACACTTTCACCTGGCTCGCGGAACAGACATTTCCCCGTTTTTTCATAAAGGGCGCAGCCCGCCTGGGCCTGGCGCGGCGCGGGCCACAGAGTGGCTATGAAAAGCAATGAGAGCAGGAAGCGGGGGGAGAGGGAGGTAACGGGGTGTTCTGCCCCGCTGCGCCCTGCGCCAACTCTGCGCCGCAGCCACCACGCTCCGCCTAACGAACATCAACAGTCGTCCTGATGCCGAATGACAGAGCTTCGTAGCCCTGTCTCTCTCGCACCCCGTCGGGCCCTCCCATGAGAGCGAGAGAGACAAAGCGGCGAAAGCTCGGTTCAGAAGCAGCCCGCCGGCAATCGGAGCGCCCGGGACGGCTGCTGTTCTAGGATCAAAAACATCCCGGGATGGGTAAGGGCGAGGGCCAGGGCCGTGCGGGGCGGGGCGGGGCGGGGCGGGGCGGCGGAGGGGCGGGGCTGGGCGGCTGGGTGGGGGATGGAGTCGTTACTGCTCTTTGCCTCCGTCCAAGTGGTTTTACACTGTGATTACCCTGTCGCTCCACCCGTAACAAGCTTGCCGGAGGAGCGGGAGGGGGATGGCGGCCGGGGCGGGCCGGGCCGGGCCGCGTCCACTAGATCCTAACCACCACGCCGCCGCCCCGCCCCGCCCCGCCCCGCCCCGCCCCGCCCCGCCGAGTAGCGCCCGCTCAAAGTGGTGTCAGCATTGCAAATTGAAGGAAGCCCCCGCCGAGATCATGATGTGCACGACGTGCAGCGGGACGAGCAGATTCCGAACAGTGCCACCGCTTCTCTGTCTCTCTCGCACCACTTCGGGACGCCCCGTGAGTGCGAGAGAGACAGAGCGACGATGCAGTCGCCATTACAGCGCTCGTCCGCGGCAGGTCTGGGCGGGGCATTATACTCTCGTGACCATTGACTCCCAGGAGTACACCATCCCCAGGGACAGTGTACTCTCCCCTTAGGGAGAGTACACCATCCCTAGGGATAGTGTACTCCCCTACCTCGAGAGGGGGGGAGTACATTGACCCTAGGGATAGTGTACTCCCGGGGGTACACTATCCCTAGGGTCAATGTACTCCCCCCCTCTCGAGGTAGGGGAGTACACTATCCCTAGGGATGGTGTACTCTCCCTAAGGGGGGAGTACACTATCCCTAGGGATGGTGTACTCCCCCGGCGGAGTACACCATCCCTAGGGCCAATGTACTCCCCCACTAGCAGGGGAGTACTTGGTCCCTAGGGATATTGTACTCCCCTACCAGCATGGGAGTACATGTTCTCCCCTTCCAAGAGAAGGGTAGGGTCAAGAATAGGGTAAGATCTGACGCGAGTTGAGTAAGATCTGTCAGCGTCAAACAGCGAGGCTGTGCCAGCGTCAAACAGCGAGGCTGTGCCAGCCTCACACAGCGAGGCTGTGCCAGCGTCAAACAGCGAGGCTGTGCCAGCGTCAAACAGCGAAGCTGTGCCAGCGTCAAACAGCGAGGCTGTGCCAGCGTCAAACAGCGAGGCTGTGCCAGCGTCAAACAGCGAGGCTGTGCCAGCGTCAAACAGCGAGGCTGTGCCAGCCTCACACAGCGAGGCTGTGCCAGCGTCAAACAGCGAGGCTGTGCCAGCGTCAAACAGCGAGGCTGTGCCAGCGTCAAACAGCGAGGCTGTGCCAGCGTCAAACAGCGAGGCTGTGCCAGCGTCAAACAGCGAGGCTGTGCCAGCGTCAAACAGCGACGCTGTACCAGCCTAACACAGCGAGGCTGTGCCAGCGTCAAACAGCGAGGCTGTGCCAGCGTCAAACAGCGAGGCTGTGCCAGCGTCAAACAGCGAGGCTGTGCCAGCCTCACACAGCGAGGCTGTGCCAGCGTCAAACAGCGAGGCTGTGCCAGCGTCAAAAAGCGAGGCTGTGCCAGCCTCACACAGCGAGGCTGTGCCAGCCTAACACAGCGAGGCTGTGCCAGCGTCAAACAGCGAGGCTGTGCCAGCGTCAAACAGCGAGGCTGTGCCAGCCTCCCACAGCGAGGCTGTGCTAGCGTCAAACAGCGAGGCTGTGCCAGCCTCACACAGCGAGGCTGTGCCAGCGTCAAACAGCGAGGCTGTGCCAGCGTCAAACAGCGAGGCTGTGCCAGCGTCAAACAGCGAGGCTGTGCCAGCCTCACACAGCGAGGCTGTGCCAGCGTCAAACAGCGAGGCTGTGCCAGCGTCAAACAGCGAGGCTGTGCCAGCGTCAAACAGCGAGGCTGTGCCAGCGTCAAACAGCGAGGCTGTGCCAGCCTCAAACAGCTAGGCTGTGCCAGCCTCACACAGCGAGGCTGTGCCAGCGTCAAACAGCGAGGCTGTGCCAGCGTCAAACAGCGAGGCTGTGCCAGCCTCACACAGCGAGGCTGTGCCAGCGTCAAACAGCGAGGCTGTGCCAGCCTCACACAGCGAGGCTGTGCCAGCGTCAAACAGCGAGGCTGTGCCAGCGTCAAACAGCGAGGCTGTGCCAGCGTCAAACAGCGAGGCTGTGCCAGCGTCAAACAGCGAGGCTGTGCCAGCGTCAAACAGCGAGGCTGTGCCAGCGTCAAACAGCGAGGCTGTGCCAGCCTAACACAGCGAGGCTGTGCCAGCGTCAAACAGCGAGGCTGTGCCAGCGTCAAACAGCGAGGCTGTGCCAGCGTCAAACAGCGAGGCTGTGCCACCCTCAACAGCGAGGCTGTGCCAGCTAAACAGCGAGGCTGTGCCAGCGTCAAACAGCGAGGCTGTGCCAGCGTAAAACAGCGAGGCTGTGCCAGCGTCAAACAGCGAGGCTGTGCCACCCTAAAC